AACTAGCTGGAGAAACATGCTTTACCGGGGTTTTTCTCCAACATAGAAATAATGACAGAATGTGCCCAATGGAACTGTCTTTTTTCCTTGTGTTGTGGAGTGGGTATAGGCGTGTGTATGCGTGCACACTAGCAATACGCTCTGACTTGTCTTCCGAATTCTCCCATGAAGTATGATGCTCCAACTAATTCATCATACATATATTTCTTCTTTAACTAAAAATCTGTTATACAAATTTAGCCAGCACCTCCCGATGGACGTGTAGAAATTGGAGAAAAAAATTTACCTTGCCCAGTAAATAACCTCACTATCCATCTGAGCAGAGTGGGCACAAGCACAGTTCCCTCCTTGTCGCTTTCAGAATGTAAATCTCCTGCAAAATGGGGTCATTGCGCTCTCTTTTCCCCCGTGCACGGAACTACAAATGTTCACCATGGAGGAATGTGGCTGCTCCCCATACTGCCTTTGAGTTTCAGATCAGATTTCAAGACGTGCAATTGCTTGAGGGACTTCTTGTGAGATTATGCGACTCTTTCATCCAAGATGACCGCGAATTGGTAATTCTGCAGAGTAGCTTCTTTATCAGCAATGCAAAGATTCCAGAAGCTTGCTTGCCTGCTTAATAGTGCAGAAGTCCAGGGCACAGGTGCAAACTGAGAAGCTGCATCTGAGAAAATCCAGAGTGTCCAGCACAGGATACTACATCTCTGAAGAGATGCATATCAAAGTACTTTGTAAAAGTAATAATTTTGAGTAAAGTTTTCACCTGTAGGAACACAGATTAGCTATTGCTATAGCAACCTGTATAGAATCTCCAGTTAAAACAATGAATTACGAAGTACATCTTAGAATAAGGCCCCAAATTCCTTTCTGTAAAGTTAACACATGGGTCAATCACAGCTTGGAACATATGTGCTGCATATAGAACCGGAACACATTGCTGTACGTTGCTATCCAGCAGTTGAGTTTCACTTTCCATTTAGCTAATCACTTGGAAGTGATCACCTATTAAACTGCATTCATTTCTGAAGTTTTAAATTTTTGAAGATTTAACTGATACAGGAGACCATGATATATGCCTGGAAATTCACACGTGTTGATACATATACATGTGTA